GTCTTACATAGTCACTGACTGCAGATAGACTCTAATGGAATAATAATAATAATAATAATAATAGCTATCTGTTTCTAGGTAAAAGCTTATTAAAAGCTTTTTCTTAACACCTAACGCTGCCAGGAATGTATTCTAGTATTTAGACGTGAACAGTTTATCCCTATTAGTGATGAACTCTTTAGGTATCCTATGCTCTAATATTAGTGCCTTCTGGACTTTGTACGCGCATTTGTTTGCTGTAATAGTCTCCTCTAGAGGCACAAATTTTGCTGCTTTAGTTAATTAATCTACAATTACTAGGATTGTGTTACAAAATTAAGCTAATCTTAGTTCTAACAATTTTAGGAGTTTTACTATAAAGTCTATTGTTACACTTGTCTATAGTCTAGATGGTGGCTGTAAGGGTTGTAACAGGCCATAGGGCTTATGTCTCTTAGGCTTGTTTTAGTAACATCCTAAACAGTTGCTTAGTATTTTCTGCACCTTCGTACGCATACGTGGTATTGCAAACACCTTAGACAGTCGTCTAACTATTTCTTCAATTCCTGCATGTCTGTATTCTAGGGACTTATGTAGTTCTTTAATAAGATGTAATCTTATATATAGAGGTATATATATTTAAGTTTTTAAAACTATATCTTAGTACTCCCATTTGTCTCTTGATAGTTTGTTAGAGCCGGCTTTATTAGGCTCGAACTGCTAGCTGGCTGCTCGCTGCTGCCACTGTTGCTGTAGCGTTTTTACCTGCTTAGCCACCTTAGCTACCTTAGCTAGTTCCAGCTAGTTGTACTTTAGGCTGCTATTAGGCATTGTCTTTAGTAAGGCGTTATGTGGTTCCTTATAACCTTCTTCGCGCAAATTAGACTTTCTACTTAAGGCGTCCGCTGCTCTGTTGAGCGTCCCTGCGCGGTGCGTGATCTTAAAGTCGAATTAGGCTAGCATCTCTACCTATTGTACTTATCGTTAGTTAAGCTTTTTTGTTGTTATAAAGCTTGTTAAGTTTTAGTAATTAGTAAAAACCTTAATTATGTTAGGGAGTCCTAGTAGGTACACCTTCTATTATTTAAAGGCGTTAACTACTCCAAGTAGTTCCTTATCGTGAACGTTGTAGTTGAGTTCTGCTCCTAAGAACTTCCGTGAATGGTAGAACACTAGTCTCCATTTTCTATCTAGGCACTACTGTGATAATACAGCTCCAAGTGCGTAGTCAGACGCGTTAGTCTTAACTCTAGTGGGTCGCTAAGGGCTGTACATCTCAAGTACTGGCGCCTCTAGGAATATCTGCTTAATTCTATCAAAAGCCTTCTAATGTTTCTGTTCCTATTTAAAACCTATTTCTTTCTTTGTTACTTCTATAAGGGGTGTAGTAATCTTTAAGTAATCCCTAATAAACTATTAATAATAATTTGCAAATCCTAAAAAGGATTGGATATCCTTAACTATTTTACGTTTTGGCTATTCTTGTATAGTCTATATCTTCTTAGGGTTTATTTTCACTCCTTTAGTTATGATAATAAATCTAAGAAATTCTATTTCTTGTATGTAGAATTTATATTTTCTAGGTTAAAGGTATAGCTTATATTCTTTAAGCTTTTGTAAAACCTTCTTAATATGCTTAACATGTTCTTCACGTGAACTACTAGAGTATACTAGTACATCGTCTAGATACGCGGTAACAAAGATTCTAAGGTACTCGTAGAGTGCGTTGTTAATAACTAATTAAAAGGTTGCTAGCGCATTTATTAATCTAAATAGTATAACTATATACTTAAAGAATTTGTACTTCGTTTTAAACGCTGTTATCTATTTATAACCTTCTTTAATCCTAATTTGGTAAAATCCTTCCTAAACGTTGAACTTTGTAAACCACTTAGCTCTCTAGAGTTGATCTATAAGCTTTGTAATATTATTATTATTATTTTTATTATTATTCTAGTTTAACGTCCTTTCTTAGCCCAAAGGGCTATATAAGACGTGCAGGCTTAAGGCCTGCAAGTAACTACGTAGGCTAGAATTTAATCTAGGTACAAATTGAGTAGGTACAATGTAGGGGGTTATCTAAATGAAGGTGAGGCTCGTAGCCTAGTAGTTTTTTAGTGAGTAACTCTCTTAGATCTTTCACTTTAAATAAGTCTTCCTCTCAAGTTTTAACGAGTAACTCTCTCAGTCGAATAGGTAGTTTAATGAGTAACTCTCTCATGTGGGTGGACCATAAATATGGTTGTGAGGGAAGAAGGATTCGAACCTTGGATCTTTGCTGACGTGAGACAGTAGAAAATTTTCCAGGCGCTCCACCACTGCGCCATCCCCCGCTGTAAAGCCTATTAAAGCTATTTATATAGGACCTAGACTATAATTAGGCCTTTAAGAGGTTAAAAGCCTTACTGCTTGCTATCTCTACCTTATATCACTACTACCTAGAGTATGATACTAGGCTGGAGACCGATGCCTCTAATGGGGTTGTGGCTGGCGTTTTGTCACAGAAACAACCTAATAGAACATAGTGCCTA